GCCAGCCACCATCACCAAGTGAAAATTCAGAAGTCAACCACCAAATCTCAAAACATCGGCCGCCCATCTTCTCGGGGGAAGAAGACCCCACAATTCTCGAAGAATGGATCCGAACTTTTGACAAGATTTTTGAAGCAGTAAAATGTCCGGAGGACCGCCGGATAGAAGTAGTCTCCTTCTATTTCGAGCACGAAGTCGACCTCTGGTGGGTCCACGAGGGACCTAATTATAAACAAGAACCATGGTTCAACTGGGAGGCCCTAAAAGCACGACTACGGGAACGGTTCTACCCCAGTCACATAAGGGTGGCCATATACGAAGAATTCCTCCACCTGAAGCAAAGAACGACCCCAATCACGGAATATTACCAACAGTTCCTCAAACTAGCTCGCCTCACACCCGAGCTAGTACCTACAAAATCAACCAAGATCGAGAAATTTATGACAGGCCTCAACTTCGAAAGCTAGAATACAAGTAATCTTGGGTATGGACTGGCTAGGGAAATTCCGAGCACAGATTCTATGCGGCGAACAAAAAGTGGTCTTGAGGGGACCAAACGGCAAACGGGTATCCTACCACAGATCCACAAGAACCAAGAAATCAAACTAGTAAACATGATGAAAATGAGGAAATACCTGACAAAAGGGCACGAAGCCTTCCTATGCTCGATCGAGGATCTCAGCACCAAGGCAGCCGAACCTCGGACCATCCCGGTGGTGAACAAGTTCACCGATGTCTTTCCAGATGAAATCCCTGGGTCGCCTCCAACCAGGGAGGTAGAATTTACCATAGACTTGGTGCCCGGCGCTGCCCCAATCTCAAAACCACCCTATTGGTTGGCACCAAAAGAAATGAAGGAACTAAAAACACAACTACAGGATTTACTAGACAAAGGGTACATACGCCCCAGTACCTCGCCATGGGGAGCACCGGTATTGTTCGCCAAAAAGAAGGATGGAAGCATGCGCCTATGCATCTACTACAGGGAACTAAATCAAGTTACCATAAAGAATAAATATCCTCTTCCCCGAATAGATGACATGTTCGACCAACTTAAGGGAGCAGAGGTGTTCTCAAAAATTGATTTAAGATCCGGATACCAGATAAAAGTGACCGACTCAGATATTCCGAAAACAACCTTTCGAACCCGCTACGGCCACTACGAGTTCACGGTAATGCCCTTCGGACTCACCAATGCACCCGCAGTATTCATGGATCTCATGAATCGAGTATTTCGACCCTACCTAGATGACTTCGTCATTGTTTTCATTGACGACATCCTGGCCTACTCCCAAGACAAAGAGGAACACGAAAAGCACCTCCGCACAACCTTGTAAATTTTGAGGGAAAACCAGCTATACGCCAAATTCTCCAAATGTGAATTCTGGAAAGACAGCGTGGCATTCCTAGGACACTTGATAACCAAGGAAGGGATCAGGGTGGATCCAACCAAGATCCATGCAATCAAGGAATGGCCCACACCGAAGGCGATTTCAGAGGTCAGGAGCTTCCTGGGGTAGGCCGGTTATTATCGGAGATTTGTACCCGATTTTATCAAGATAGCCCAACCCCTAACTAGACTCATGAAGAAGGAAACCCCCTTCCGGTGGGACGAAAATTGCACTTCGGCCTTTCACGAACTGAAAGAAAGACTGACCACAGCCCCCGTACTAGCCCTTCCCTCCGGAGTAGAAGGATTCGAAGTTTTCAGCGACGCCTCCAAAAAGGGACTAGGATGCGTACTAATTCAAAGGGGCAAGGTAATAGCATACGCATCCAGGAAACTCAAAACCCACGAAGAAAACTACCCCACACACGACCTAGAGCTAGCCGCCGTCGTATTCGCTATGAAAATTTGGAGGCATTACCTATATGGAGTACAACGCAAGATCTACACAGAACACAAAAGCCTGAAATACATCTTCACTCAGAAAGATCTGAACATGCGACAGCGAAGATGGTTGGAACTCATAAAGATATTACAAAAGAGTCAGTGGGGGGCAGGTGGGGGTAGGGGAACCCGCCACCTACCCGCTGCCCCTATTGGTGTCGCCGGCAGCGGGCAGCCGGTGGGCAGGCGACTGCCCGCCGGGCACCCGCTGCCCAAAAGTACGCCGCCGGCCACCCGCTGGTTTTCCTAGTGTGGGATGGTGGTTTTCCCCGTTTGATGTTTCCCCGTCCCCCGTGGTGTCCCAACAGACCCCGTTTGTCATGCTTAAGTCTAGTTTGATGTTTCGGGTACCATTCGTAGGATAAAAGAGTCTTGTATATTGCATGCTAGTTGAATTGGTATCCCGTTGGCCTAGGTGAAAGATGTATGAACCCCTTAGAAATATTCCTAGTATGTGGATGACCACGCATAAGTTTTATTTATACGTTTTTCCCTCCTTCCCAATGTGCTAATGTAAGTTGCATGTGCTTGCTATGTGTTATGTGTGCATGATACCCCAATTTGGTTGCGATCAAATTGGCTATACGGGCAGTTGGATAGGTTGAGAACCATCGGCTGTTAACCAGGCCGGTTGCAATCGTTCAGTTATATAAATATTATATAGAGTTGCGGTCCACCGTTCGGTTGCGATCAAACGTTATACATGAGTTGTGGTTCATAATCTGGTTGCGATCAGAAATACACTTTTGGACTGTGGTCAACCTTTTTGTTGCGATCAAACGTTATGATGAGCTGCGGTTCATCGGTTGGTTGCGATCAACCCCTTCGTGCTGCAGTATGAGGCAGGGTGCTGCGGGGTCGTGTTAGCGCTATATGCGCTGACCCTCATGTATGGGCATGCGATTGGTCCTGTGGCGCCACCAAAGTGTGCTTATGTGTTGAGATAATGATTGAATAATGATATGAATGATGAGAAATAAATCTTGTGACCTTAGGAAATATGCTAGTATCTTCATATGCATGATTATATCTGATAAATGTGCTTGTCCTTACCTGCTGAGTCTATTCTCGGTTTTAAAGCTAGAGTCTCCTAAGTATATATCTTCCGGCTTCAAAATAGTTTTCCTATATATATATATATATATATATATATATATATATATATATATATTGTATTTTAACTCGTTGGAGTGGGTTACCGGCATTATTCGCTCACTACAAGAAAAATGCACATAGACAACATTAGAAAGACACCAGTTTTTAAGAAAAGTGTTGTCTTTTGTTTAAAAGACAACAGTTTGGTCCAAAACTGTTGTCTTTGATGCAACACTTTTGTCAAAGACAACGGTTTTTACTTAATTAACCGTTGTTATAAGTGTGTTGTCTTTGTGCATTTTGTGAAAAGACAACACCACAACGACAACGGTTTTTAAAAGCCGTTGTCTGTGTGCGTTTTTTTTTTAAATAAGACAACGGTTTTTTTAACTGTTGTCGTTGGTGTGTTATCTTTAAGCGCACTGGAATACACAACACTAGAAAGACAACGATTGTTTAAAACCGTTGTCTTCGTGCGCTCTTTTTTAAAAAAAAAAAAAAAAAAAAAGACAACGGTTTTATTTAACCGTTGTCGTTAAGCGCAATCGAATACACAACACTAAAATGACAACGATTTTAAATAACCGTTGTCTTTGCATGTTCTTTATTTGTTTAAGACAACGGTTTTATTTAACCGTTATCTTTGGTATGTTGTCTTTAAGTGTATTTGAATACACAACACTATAAAGACAACGGTTTTAAAAAATCATTGTCGTTGCGCATCATTATTTAAAAGGTATATAAAATATAAACAAAGATGTTAACTAAAAGAGTCAAACCTATAACCTCAGCTTACCAAATACACAGTTTTACCAACTACACAACACAAGTTCTTATGTTTAAAGGTGCAACATCTAGTATATAACTGGTTTGCTTCTGTGTTGTTTGTGAAAACTAAGACAACAATTTTAGAAAATAGTTGAAGAATTCCCCCCAGGAAGAATAGAACTTAAGACCTCTAACATAATAAACTAAGCTAAACCCACCAAGCCACAGCAACACTTATGTATTCAAGCACAACATCTAGTATATTACCAAAATGGTTCTATTTTCGTTCATATTTAAATATAAAATTATTCACCAAAATTTCAAAGTAAATTCATTAAAGTTTTATTTTCAATTATATTACAATAAAGACCAATCTATGAATTCAAAATAATAATAATAATTATCAAGTATAAAAAACAATATGGGGTGGTGTTCATAATGGTGCGGTATGATGTGTAGGGGTTTAGGGCGATATATATGATAGGGGCCGGGGTTGGTAATCGACTATTCCGTCTAGCGCATGACTAACAAGGTTAGCTATATGTTGGTAATTGATCCTTACGGCTAGCGCAGGACTAACAAGCTAAGGTTAGCTATATGTTGGTAATCGACCCTTCCGGCTAGCGCATGACTAACAAGGTTGAAACTCTTGGTAATCGACCCCTCCGGCATGCCTGGGACACGTTGAGAATGGATATGAAAGAGTAGTTGATCGATGCTGTACAGTTTGCTATATCTCATTTCTTTTGCCGCGATCTTAATTAGCTCTATGTTCATAATTACCAAACTATATATTCATAATTTTTGAATTGAAATGCATATTCATAATGATTGAATAACTCTGATCTATATTCACAATTACAGAACTTTGTGTTTATAATTTGTGATGTTCATATTCCCAAGTGTCTATAACTATACATTTAAGAAATTGTGAATCAACAATACAGAAATTATGAATCTGCAGTATAGAAATTATTAATCTATACAAATGTATTTAAATTAATTAGAAATATACTGTATAGAAATTATGAATCTACATTATAGAAATCTACGAATCTCGTGTTCTGTACTTATATACCCGGTTCTATTTTAATTGACCGGATATAGAGACTCGAGTAATTAAATTAATATTTTGTTACAAAATTTCCCTCTAAGCTAAGACAAATTAAAATTTCCCTCTAAGACAAAATAGGGAAATTTTTGTCTTGCCTCTAAGAGGCGCAAAATTAGGTCTAGTCCAAAATTTCCTCCTTCACTCTCCGCTAACTGCTCGTCCTTCACTCTCCTTCACTCTCCGCCACTCTCCGCTAACTGCTCGTCCGTGTGTTCTCCGCCGACCGCCACTCTCGTCGGGGGGTTTCTGCCGGCCGGCACTAGCCATCTCCGCAGTGGGTGCTCTCCGCCGACCGCGTACCGCCGCCGCGTCTAAGCTTCGACGTCGTCGCCAAAGCCCAACCTCTTCCGCCATCGCCGCCGCCATCCTGTGTCGCCGTCGGTCCAGCTGCCGCCGCCGTGAGGTTTAGATTTTAAGGTTAGCTTTTCTATTTTAATGTAATAATCTGTCAAATTTATCCAAGCTAGGTCTGAATGTATCAATGTGTGTAAAATTTTGGATATCCAATACACTATTTGTTTTGTTGTGTGAAAATATGATAGAAATTAAAATTATGATCTCTAGGTGTGATTATTGAATTTTTCTCGACCCTTCCATTTTCATGATCCCCAGCTCCTTTTCAACCCCAAGTTACAGTAATTCAATACAGTTTCAGCTTGAGGTATAAGGTAGCATTATTCTAAAGTAGTCTAACAACAGAGTAAAGTTAGGAAAAGAGCATTATTATACAAATTTCCTTGAGAATTAAGTAGAAAGATGAAGGGATGACATCTAGACAGAATTTCCTTATGGAATGATGGGTCTTTTGGATGAAGTAAAAGGAAAGCATAATTTTTTTGGTATTTGGATATTGAGCAGCTACAATGTAAATGTGGGGTTTCACCATGCTGGGGGGACCATTGGAGGCTAGATGCTCAGGGCTGCTAATCTGTGAGGCTTGCAATGGCAACTGAAGCCTTTGAGTGGAGGTTGTCTGTTGCCATGGTGAGGATTCCACTATGGAAGAGGATTCAACATGCTTGGCCTTTTACTGATGTTCTCGGATCACTCTTAATTTCTGGGAATGGAATGGAAAGGTTGGTGGACTATGCAAGTTGATTCTGAAGCTCAGAAGCTGTTCTGATTCTGAGGCTTCTAGCTGCAGGAGTCCCCAAAGCTTGTAGTGGAGGGTGCTCCTGCCATGGGTAGATTCCACAATGGAAAATGACACCTCATGCCTAGAAGAGTTAACTGTAAGTTGATTGGTTGTGAAGCAGAAGTGGAAGCTCACTGAAATCTGGGGAAAGTGAGTACTCCTGGGATGGCATTTGATGAAGTAGTACTGATAAGCTGCTGTGAGGCTGGAAAGCTAGGATTAAGATCTGTTTTTTTTTTTTTTTTAGAATAATGGGATTAGGATCTGTTGATTTGTGAAGTGTATTTGGCTGGTTATGGTGCCTAAATCTGGGCAGTTTGGGGTGAAGGTCCACCAAGCTTGGTGGTACCATGGTGACTGGACAGTTGCAGCCTCAATCTGAAACATTTTGTTGAGGATTGGGGCTGTCTTGGGGTTGAGTGTAAGTTTGTGAGTTGCCTTAAATTATATATATATATATATATATATATATATATATATATATATATATATATATATATATATATTATAATTAATATAAGAATTACTCCAGAGAAATGTTGCTATACCCAATTAAATTGACTCAGGTCCATCATTTCCATGTCAAGCATCCAGAATTGCATTCTGAGGCATGTCAAGTTTTTCTAGACTAAACCACCCAAAACCATTTTCACTCTACTATAGGATTAGTTCATAAATGTCTGATAAATCATCATGGTCTATAAACTAAAGTATTAAACTTGCAAGTTAAATTAGATAAGGAAATAATTATCAAATACTTGAATAAATTGCTACTAATTGCACTTCTTAATTCTAATTAACTCTTTTAAAGTAGTTAATCAGTAAACAAATTAAACTCATGTTTATTTCAAAACCAATTTCACTTCCTTCTTTGCATTTTTATATTTAGTGCTTACAAATAGCCTTATTGGAGCTTTACGTATAGTGATTCTCTTTACCATATTATAAATTCTTAATGTGCATTGAGCAAAACTTAATGGTGCATTCGCTAATATTTTATGCTGCATCTAACTTGAGTGCACTGTTTGTTATAAGCATTTGTATTGTCAAACTTGTCCAATGCATGACCAAATTGATAATTATTATACCAAATATTATACCACTGGTTCTTTTTTTCAACTATGCATTCAAGTTGATTTTTATATTTTTAAATTATCTATCGTTTTAGTATAAATATAAGATATTTTTAATCTTTAAAGATTGTGTTGAAAAATATTGAGCTGAGATATTTTGTTGGTTTGATTAGCTTTTAGTAGTCCAACTTGTCTAACAAATCGAGGGAGCAGTTTCCTTATTGCATAGTTGCAATCCTTGGGAAATTGTCATGCGTCCTATACGAATGGAAAGAAAGGACGCAGTAAAACTGCTTGGGAAATTGTCAAAGTAATTTATATTTTTAACTATATAAGTGATTGTATATAGCTAAATTGTAATGCAAATATTATTTAATATTTGTAGGCTCCTCGTCAACCGGATAGTAACCAATGTGGTTTCTTTGTCATGGCGTACATGAAAACTTTAATTGAGAATATGCCAGACTTCGATGATAAAAATTCTGTTCAAGCACTGGTATGTACATGAAAATTCTGTTTGAAGTGAAAATCTGTTTGTATGTGCATATATAAGTGCATTAGGTGATTATTTAAAATGAGCATATAGTCATGAAATGAAGAATCATGTGAGCTTAACTGTTTGTATGTGCATAAGTGAATCAGTGTGCTGTTCTGATTTGTTGTTCATTGAAATTATATGGTCAACAATTATTTTCTTGATGCCTTACCTTTTTTGGTGATGAATAATGATAATGCATCTCTTATCTTTCCTTTTGGGAAGACTGGAAAGCATACTGTATTGATATATACAAATTAAAGTGTGCTTAATCTTTGTGGTTTGGTGTTAAGTGCCAAAATCCTGCCTGCCAAAATCCTTATATCCAAATTAAAGTGTGCTTGTGGTTTGGTATTGATATTCTTGGTTGCAGTGGTATTATATAGAGGATGCAATGTGTTTTGTTTTGTTTGGGCCTTGAGGAAGAGAAAAATAGAAAGTAGGCAAAGCATGACTGGTAGATTGATAAATGCCATCCATCCCACATGGTAGTTGCCAATTGGGAGCATTTGTATTCATATTAGGAAAGTATTGCCAATGCATTGATTTTACTCTACTTGAATAGACTCTAGTATGCCATTTTAGTGTTTCCTGTCTAGCTTTTCTGTACTATAACCTTCCAGATTGGAGAGCTTTCCGAATTACTCCTAACTTATTTTGCATTTCATTGCAAATTATTTATATCTATACTAATTTATTTTCTTACTTTTTACATGTAGTTTCAACAAGTTGATTATGACAAAGCGTTTATTGATCTGGTGCGTTCTGAATGGGCCGATATTCTATCAAGTCATATAGAGTAGGTATGATTTAGTCATTAGAACGTTGTGATCATTTGGACTTGAATTGGTTAGTGGAATTGTTTTTTGTTTAGTAGTATTATGACTTGGATGATAATTAGAATTGGTCATGGAAGTCTTTTGACTTGTTATTTTAAACCTTATTAGCTTGAGCACAATTATGTAACTACACTTTGCAACATATGGTGAATGGATAAATTGTTTTTTTATATGATTATAATTTAAGCAGGTGAAAAACGGTTAAAAACCGTTGTCCATTTTACAATAGACAACAGTTAGAAACCGTTGACTTTTCTACAAAAGACAACAGTTTATGGGTGTGACAAAAGCGATTTCAACAACACACAATAGACAACAGTTTATAACTGTTGTCTTTTAAAGAAAAGACAACAGTTAATAACTGTTGTCTATGTGCGTGACTTTTAACAACACCGGTTTCAACAACACTTAATAGACAACGGTTAAAAAACCGTTGTCGTTGGTAGAAAAGACAACGGTTAATAACCGTTGTCTATGTGCGTGACTTTTAACAACACCAGTTTCAACAACACTTAATAGACAACGGTTAAAAAACCGTTGTCGTTGGTAGAAAAGACAACGGTTAATAACCGTTGTCTATGTGCGTGACTTTTAACAACACCGGTTTCAACAACACTTAATAGACAACAGTTAAAAAACCGTTGTCGTTGGTAGAAAAGACAACGGTTAATAACCGTTGTCTATGTGCGTGACTTTTAACAACACTGGTTTCAACAACACTTAATAGGCAACGGTTAAAAACCATTGTCGTTGGTAGAAAAGACAACGGTTAATACCTGTTGTCTATGTGTGTGACTTTTAACAACACCGGTTTCAACAACACTTAATAGACAATGGTTAAAAAACCGTTGTCGTTGGTAGAAAAGACAAAGGTTAATAACCGTTGTCTATGTGCGTGACTTTTAACAACACCGGTTTCAACAACACTTAATAGACAACGGTTGAAAAACCATTGTCGTTTCTAGAAAAGACAACGGTTAAAAAACCATTGTCTATGCGCGGGACTTACAACAACACCGGCTTCAACAACAGAAATTATACCCCTACGACAACAGCTATTAACCGTTGTCTATGTGCATTTTTCTTGTAGTGGCTGAACAGATATATTTGGCTTTCAGGCACAGATGAGTAGCTCCGGAGCGCGCTAGAGGACCCAAGACTTAGATAATTAGCTTCCTTTTCGGCCTGCGTGCCATGATGATGTAATGACATTGTTTTGAGGATAATTAGATAGTTTAGACTGTGCATTTGAGTTCTCCAGCTCAGTTGTGGCATAGCACCCCAAACACTTATGTTTAGTATGCTCTGTTATTGGGATTTAATGATAGCATTACCTTCATTTCATAAGCTTTGAAAGTTTAAAATTTTAGGGGTGTTACAAAAACTCTTGATGTTGATTTACTCTTTTGAGACTTGTAGATGACTACCCTATGCTTTTGATGGTGCTGGACACCGGGGTTTATTCCCTAGTTTGTTTGATGTTTAGTAAAACTTTTTATGAATTAGTTGTTATCCTTAGCCTGTGCAATCACCGTGAAGGGTGATTGTGGCGGTGACACCTCTACTAAGTTGTTTAGTAAGTTTATTCCGCTATTTTAGTTTATCTTTAAAGGTTTAGTCTGTTAATTAAGTTTAAGAAAAGTGGGGTGTTACCGGTTTGGCCTTCTGGGCCCTCCAATTTAGTCATGGGATCAATCTAGACCTTTCTTATATTTTTTTTATGGGTTAATATGTTGATGGCCTTTTAGTTGATCATTCATCTTTCTTTTTTAATTTATTTTTTTGGCCTAATTTACCTCCTCTACCTTGGCATACTAATCAACCTTTGCCATTATGGCCACATAATTTGTCAGTCTTTTTATTGAGACTCTTGTATAAGTCTCCAACTCTTAGAGCCTCTATAAACATAATGATGACCAATTTTACATTGAGAAAAAGGTATTGGACATGATCAACTCTTGTCCATTGCCTCGCTAGGGGTGTCCTACAACTCTTCCCTAATGGGCTCCTTTCCTCTAACTTCGCTTTTGGCAAGGGACCCCTTGCATCACGGTCCTAACCTTTCCCTCATCAATCTCCTCCCGCCTTGAAGCGTGTTTAGCTAAGTGGGAAGTGGGTTTGCTTGGGCGTTGCGACCAGCAGCCGCTGGCTACATCGGGCTCGGCTATAGCCCCACTACTATTGGGCTACCCACATGCCAATGACATTCGCTAACTCATGGGCCAACGGTTGGATGCTAGGTCTAGCTCCTAGGGGTCGGGTTAGTTGTTCTTGCCCCTGGAGCATCCTCCATGATAACTAAGGTACTATTGGGCTACCCACATACCAATGACATTCGCTAACTCATGGGACAACAGCTGGATGCTAGGTCTAGCTCCCAAGAGCTCAGGTTAGTTCTTGCCCTTGGAGCATCCTCCATGACAACTAAGGTTTCGATTGAACATCTAGTGTCTGCAACATTGTGAAATGGGTGGTTACTATACCTCAATCAACTTTGTTCACCCATAAAACGAGTGGTTGACATGTCTTAATCATCCCTGTCCGTCCACTTGTCATCACCACAAGTCTCCACCCCATACCCTTCTCCATATGTAACTTTTACCGCTTTCAATTCCATAAAAAAATATGGTAGGATAGTTGAAATAAGTTGTACTTATGTACTTGTAGGTTAAGGGTTAGAATCTTGATGATTGTGCTTCTTTTTCTTTTGATGGTTTCTACTTATGTTGAACTATACAATCTTGTAGTCCTCCTTTACCCAATTTTCATTGGACCAATTCATCATAAATAATAAATTACATTACTCCCTTAAAATTCAAAAAGCACATAACCAAATAAGTGAATAACAATGTGACCAGCTCATCCCTATGTGGCAATAAGAAAAAAAAATCAGACATGATATATCAATTATTTGATTTGGATTGATAAGTAAAGATTAAAGGAAACGTCATGTTATACTTTGTTGCAAATCAATATAACTTTAATTTGTCCGCTAAAGTCCATTGACTTGGAGAAAGATAGCGTGAAAAGATAAATTTGACAAACTCTTATCGATTAAGAAAACATATGAGTGGTTAGTTAAAACAATTATCACGTGCTAATTATTACTTAATAACCACCTTCATTTCGATCAATTACTTACCATTTCCCGAAAAAGTTCCTTTATATTTACTAATACTAATATTTATACGTGCAATATGCCAAAAAAACATATAAAATATATTAATGTTCAACGTTAAAATAATGATTATATATAGGACACGCTCTAATAGGGATGACCATTGATTTTTATTTTATTTTTTCAAATTTTTCTGCACGAACGTAATCGGGTATTGTAGAAATCGAATTGGAGCCGATTCCAATTCGAAAATATCAAGAATCGGAAAAAAAAAAACTAAATAATTTCTAAAAATTATGGTTCCAGTATGGACTCCAAAATTATTTTAATGTTGGTAAACTAATTAAAATTACAACTAATTCATTTCTAAAAAGATACGTAGACAACTTAATATTAGTAAAATTAAGTCCAACCACAAAATTATTTTTATTTTTTTAGTTTAAGTTTAAAGTTTAAATATTTGACATAACTATTTTTAAAAATTTTAGAATGAAAAATTTTCAAAAAAAAAATTGTTGAATTTGAACTATTTTAAAAATAAAAAATTGAAACTATAAAAAAAAAAAAACGGTTCGAACCGGAACTGAAACATTTCTAAAAGGTTTCAAATTCGATTCGCCGTTTTCTAGAATCGAAAACCACTGATTCAGAATCGGAATCGAACTGTGATCATCCATACGCTCAATTGAAAATCGTAGAAGGACAAAAAAAAAATCAATTTTGACAAAAAGATTAAAAAGAAAATAGAAAAAGTCTACTTTTACGCATTTGTTGGGCGGGCATGTTGCAACTGGACATGCAGAAAATGACTTTTCTTTTTTCTTTTCTCTCTCCAAGCATATCCTCTAGAAACCAAGATTTGCACGAAGAAAAATCAAGAACCATCCTCTTCATTTGTCAAAAACCATCTACTTAAGTTTTTCCTTCTGCAAAAATTAACTATCGATTTGAGAAGATCAACGATTTCTTTAAGGGAGAAATGCAATAATAATTTGGTAATAATATCAAATTTTGAGTGCATTGAGCAATACTCCGTACTATAATTAAAGTGATTCAATTATATGTACATGTGTAACCTTCTTGTTTGGTAATAATCTCAAATTTTGAGTGGAAATGTTTTTTTTTTTTTTAATGGATCGAATATGTTTTTTCTAACCCAAAAAATAGGTTTTTAATTTTTTTTGATTAATTAGGAAACTAATTGCACAAAAACGTTTCTGAAATGAGCTTGGGAGACGAAACATTTTTGAAACTGGAAAATGCTACCCTCACGGAGTTTTGTGCAACATAAGTATCAATCTTAATTTCCTTTTATGAGATTGTTAGATTAGATTAGGGAGATTATTATATATTGTTAAAATATCAATTTTGTGTGGTCTCAAACATTATAGTTATTATTATTAAAGATGAGAATCCAGTAGCTAGATGTACCATATCCACACAAATCGTGCAAAAAGAAAGTAAAATCAGTGATTGGTGTATTATTAGAGAGAAGCAAATATAATAATATTGGAGATGATTATATTACCAAATGTAGAACATAGTATATGCATAATGAATAAGGAAGGAATCAGATCTAATATAAATTCAAGGATTTTTCAACTTCTTTTTGTTGGATCATTGCATCATTCAATTCAATTCCACGGTCAAATGATAGATGTTATTCGATCTTCTTCCATTTCCATCGTACTTACAATATAATAATTCTACAAATTAAATTAAATTATCAATCTTGCTTAGCTTCTCTACACTCACCCTACATAATTTTCTTTTACCCCTTGCACCTGCCGTCACGCCAA